GGAATCGGGAAGGACCTCATCGAAGGCGAAAACTGAAGCACCCCACGGCGGCGCCACTGAGATACGACAATGTTTCTCGACCAATTGACCAGTTCTTTCACTCTGATTTTGCCATGGGTGGGTTTGGAATCAAATTCTGAGCAAATGGTAGAATTTTTACCTCGTTTGGCGGCCGAAAATTGCTTCGGTGCGGCGGCGGTCGGCTTCCCGGTGGCTGGGCTGTTTTCTCCGGCGAGGGGCTTTGGCAGCTAGGGTTTGGGTTTGGGTGCGGATGAGGTTATTTATACCCATCCGCTTTTGATCTGGGTCGTCCATCGCTTTTAATCTGTATCGTCCGATCACGATTAAATAGGGAGTGAATCTGTACTATTCATCGCGATTCAATCTGGGTCGTCCGTGCACGATGCAATCTAGGCCGTCCGTGCACGTTTTTTATCTAGGCCGTCCGTGGGTACGGGAACGGATCTCAGTCGTTCGATTGCGCGCACGCGGATCACCCACGTGGCCTCCCGCGTCAGCGTCTCTACCACCTGGCGCGTCCTAGTTAGTCGGGGCTGCAGACCGGACAGCTGACGTGGCGTAACTTTTTTAAATTATGTTTTAACCCCCGGTTTTCGAACCATTAGAATCCAAATTTTAACCAATTTTTCCCAAAATTATCTTCAATTAAATCCCTAACCAATTTTTTTACCTATTATTATTATTATTTTCATTAAAATAAATTAAATTCAATTAATACATATTTATATTTATATAAAATTAATAAAAATAAAATAAAATAAAAATAATAAAAATAATTGGGTGTTACAACAGAATAGTATGTCCATAATGGAGGTCGGCATGACAGACAAATTTTGTCAGATTAAGGAGACGCAGAAGCAACTGACATAAATTTTGGTGATGAGTCGAGAAGATTCTAGCAGCAACTAGACCCTTCGCTCCAGCCAGCAGTGACTGAATCACGAGGATGGCACCGAACGCATAAACGTAGGTAACTAGCCCTTATACTCCAAACTCACCAAACTCAATTTTTCCTCATACAATGGCGATGACCCGATCGAGTGGTTTAATCGTGTTGAGCAGTTCTTTGAGCATCAAAGCACCGCTGCAGATAAAAAAGTGGTGTTTGCATCGTACCACGTGTAAGGCAAAGCCAACTAATGGTGGCAATTACTTTGTCAGATATGCGAAGAAGAAAAGAAAAAAGATTACTTGGGACATGTTTGAGGAAGAGCTTTAGGCTCAGTTTGAGGCTATTGAGAGTGAAGACTTTGATGAAGTCTTGTATAGAGTAAAACAAATCGGTCCATTACGTGAATACCATAAAGAGTTTGAGTGACTGAGTTACTAAGTTCAGGGCTAAACCTATAAGGCTTTGGTGGGTACTTTTATCAGTGGGTTTAAGCCTGAAATAACAGACGAAATCAGAATGTTCCAACCCAAATCCTTGAAGGAACTAATTAGTTTGGCCCGCATAAAAGAAGATTAACTGAACTAGTAACACCGGTTTAACCAGTTCATATGAGTCACGACTACCCAATTATACCGAATACTAGCAGCTCTATCGTCACAAATTGCAACTTCTCCACCCACTGCCACCAGGTGAATCTTGTCGGATGAATTGCAGAGGCAACAAATATAAGGGTTACGCTTCAACTACAATAAGCGATTCAACCCTGGTCATCGGTGTCGCAAACCCCAATTGCTACTATTGAAAGGCGACGAAGAGAAAGTTACGTGGGAAAACATCAATGATTTACATAAATGATTTCATAACATAAACCTTGAAGACAACGTTTCACAGAAAGGGAAACGCAACGATTAGTCCAGTAAACATGGAAAATATGGAAAACGTGAAAATAAAATCAAATGAGATCAAATAGTCATTAACAGATACTTGGTCTCCATTTTTATTTGCTAATTGTCATCGTAGTTGCTAAATTGTAAGAAATATTATTATCCTTTCACGTGTGTATATATATACATATATATATATTATGCACAATCAATGAAGAAGACAACCGACTTTCACGAGTAAAAATATAGAAATTCCTTATGCACGCCAAAATAGAAAACTTTAACTAAAATTTTCAATTATTAGAACCCATCACATAGTCTATATAATGGATAAAGAATATAAATATATTTAAAAATATACATTCATCAAAGTACGTAGTTATAACATTTAAGTTTTGTTAAATAGACAACTGCAAGTTAGTCAAAGGAATTTTATTGTACCTGGACTCATCGTAATCGACGTAATACTTTTATATGATGTAATTATTTAGGCATAACACACCACAGCCTTGTTACCAATCATGTAAATTAATAATAATAATAATAATAATAAGTAATAAATTATTCTGCCAATGTAAGAAAAAAAAAAATAATAAAAAAGAGGAAGGAGGGTTCAGTTGGAAAGTGAGTAGGGCAAGAACTGAGGAGGCGGCGCCGCGTCCACTGCTGCGACCTCCGTGAGTCACCAAAGAGCTTCTACGCCGATCATCTTTTCTGGCGAGGTTAGGGAGCAACTGCAGGCTAGAGCAAAGCTTCCGACGCTCCCTGCGTGGCTGTTTTCTCTTCGCGATTCCGGCGGATTCAAGCAACTATATCGGTGTAGCAGCAGCAGCAGCTTCCGGCGGATCCTTCTCCTCGTAACAAGTGACTTTTTATAGTCTAAGACAAAGCCGATTGTGCTGGAAATCATCGACTGTAACAGGTAAGAGTCTCGGCTTCCTTACTCTTCGATCCGGTGAAAACGAGGGACGTGGCGACGCGTGGAAGCCGGGAATGGATTCCTCCCGTCGCCACAGACCTTCTGTCACCATGCATGTACTTTCTCGTGACCGGCGGTCTGCGGAAGAATACGGCCGCTCCGGTAACACCGTTGAGTCTAGCTAGTTGTTATCTGGCTTTAAAAAGTTCTGATACTCTTAGCCGACTCCATTTGCCACATGGAAACCCAAGTTACCGCTAGTGCCTTAGAAGTATGATGTTTCGGGTGTTCCGGAGTAGATTTTGACATGAGAACCATTCTGGACATCCTAGTACGATCTTTATTGGGTTAAGATAGGTTGCCTGATTGTAACGAACCCTATCAACTAACAAATGCGAGAATGTTTACATCATCATCCAAATGTGTTACTGAAGATGAACTTGGACATATAACAACTGAACAAAGGGAGAGTTTGAATCAAGCTACGGAAATTTGGAAATGTAGGAATATACTGGCATGAACATGTTATGAGTAACGTATGTAGGAACTTCTGTGAATTTATCTCGAGTAAACATATTAAATTTGTGAACACTTGCTACTTAACTATTATGAAAATGCAGTGCATGTGTATGGAAGTGTGTTTACTAGAAATGAAACTATATATACATATATATGCATATATGTTTATATACATTTATTGGACCTATGAGAAGCAGCAAAAATGACTAAAATGCACAAACAAGATCGTGAATAGGCATATCGATGCTGAAACAAACCCATACATGTAAATTGAGTATGTGAGACATGAAATTCTAATTAACAAGTAGGTGTATGTATTGTTCTATGGGTGCCTGAACTGAAAATCGTTGTAAAAAAGGGTTTATATATTAATTCAATTGTATGGTAGAAGGACAATTACTACATGGGGATTTTTGATAATGTTGTGGGCATTGGCGCACCCTAATAATCTGGTGGAAGGGAGGATGAATTCTGCACTTCATGGTAAATGACTGTGGAGGTTTATGAGCGAGGGTGGAAGGCTGTGGAAGTGGATTGTGGAGGCTCGGTGGGGTAAGGGTGAGTTTGATGGGGACACTTGTGAGGTGACTAGGTCGCATGACTGGAGTTGATGGAAAAAGATCAGTATGGGGAGACAGAAATTTCAAGAATACATCAAATGAAAGTTGGGGAAAGGTGATAATTCATTTTTGGAAAGATGAGCAGGCTGGAAGGGGTAAGCTTGGGGATCTATTTCTCAGTATTTATGCAATTGCTTCTTCGAAAAGTATGAGGAGGGTTATGGAGGCCTTCTCTGAGAGGAATTGGAGTAGGGCTGGTTCATGAATGTAACCAGAAATCTCAATAACTGGGAAATCGATGAGTATGAGCCTTACTTTCTCATGCTATCTCAGATTCAGTTAAATAGTTTCAGCGATTAATTGGTATGGAATGTGGGAAAAAAAGGGGAATTCACTTCAAATTTTATTACAAGTTTCTGACTAGGAGGAGCGGGTGGGGATTGATAATTTTCTCGCAAATCAGATCTGGAAGGCAAAAGCTCCATTGAGAATTGCTTTTTCTCGCTTGGGAAGTGGGCAGAGAATTCATATTGACCATTGACAAACTAATGTGAAGGGTGGAAATTCTAGTGAACCAATGTTTCTTATGTAAGATGGAAGCAAAACTTGCAACCATATTATTCTTTGGTGCCCATTTGTGTATAACTTATGATGTATGGACATTTAGGGAT